CTCCCGGGGGGCTGTCCTGCGCACGACCGTCCAGAAGGGGGCACTGTCCCCCGAGGCCGCGCCAGCAGCCTCCGTGGGCGGCGGAGCCGACTCACTCCCGCACGTGTGCTCAGCAGGCGCGACTAAAGTCGGCACTTGTTTTCCACTGAAGTAAAACAGGCCTGCTGCCGCCAGCAAATTGTCCCAGTGAGACACTGTTTGACCATGATTTGCAGAAACTATTTCTAAAATAACCCTAAAATACGTGTCGCCACATTGAAAACCACAGAACTTAGCGACGCCCTCCCCCCACCCCCACGCACACCCCAAAACCGCTTCACTCATTCACAAGTTTGGAAGGTACGGGATGGAACGTGGAGCTGGAAACAGCGATGTTAGTGCGCAGCAGGGGCGGGGCCTGCCTTGTGTGCCCCCCAAGTTCACATGCAGAAGTACGAGCCCCCGGCGGGACTGTGTCTGGAGCAGAGCCGGCAAGGTGAGGGTTTAGTGCCCCACTCAGACGCGGGGGACCCTGCGTGAGCAGCCGTGGCAGAGCTCGCCCTCCCGCCCCGCGAGGTCAGTGCGTGGCCCAGAAGGGCCCCCCAGGCACCAACCTGCCAGACCCTGATCTTGGACGTCCAGCTTCCGGGACTGTGAGAAAATAAATTTCTGCTGGGGGAAGAGCTTCCCGTTCTCATATTTTTATTGTATTATATCAGGCTAGTTTTTTTCTTGTTGAAAAAAACCCAAAACTGCAAGCCCTCACACCCAGCTGAGGTGTGAAGTCTCTCTTCTCACTGAAGTTCCTGCCCCCGCCTCCCTGCTCAGGCCTGTGTGCTCGGTGCACTAAACGCCTGTCGCAGCACAGGGAGACGGGACGCGCACACATGCCTTGGTGTTTGCGAGAACAGGATGCATTTTCTTTCCCTAGAAGGACATGTGAGCCGGCCCGTGAACTGGCAGTCTATGGGGGGTGTCGGGGACAATAATGACTCTGTGGCTCTGTGTGCCAAGGGTCTCTGGCAGGAGGAAGTGTGCGGGGGCTGTGCTTGCTTGCAGGGTCACCTGGAGCCTAGAACAGACAGCGCCTCCCAGAGAGCTCCTGAGCCAGACCGCCCCCCCAGCCCAATTCCTCCAGGGTTGGCAGGATTCCAGGTCCTGCCTGTTGGTCGTGGGGGCCAGAGCCAAAGCCTGGGCTCTGCAGCTCAGCCCTCATCACCGCCGCCCCCCCCCCACCCCCAGAGAGGGCTGTGCTTGGGATCAACATCTCCAGGGCCTCGTCAGGTTTCTAGTCACCAAAACTGGAATTCATGGCTTGACCACAGGCCGTCCCCAAAATTCTGTAATGCAGCCGTATGCCCAGACCAGCCCTGCCACTCGGTCGGTGGACTCAGTTGTGCGGGGTCGTGGAAAGAGCTTGAGTCCGTTGCTTACCAGCTGTGTGATCTTAAGTAAGTTACTCACCCGCTCTGTGCCTCTGCTTTCTCATGTGCAAAACGGGGTTAACGAAGCTCCTGTCTCAGAGATTTTATAAAGATTGGACTAACACTCGTGAATCACTTAAGCATGGTGCCAGGCCGGGAGTAATTCTTTCCATGACTGCAGTCGGCATGAGGTGGGGATTGGAGGACTTTCCCATAAAGGGACAGGTAGTGAGTATTTCAGGCCTTGCGGCCACAGGATAAGCAGGGCACCTACTCAGCTCTGGCCTTGTGGTGCGAAAGCAGCCATAGATAGTACATAAATAAATGGGCATGGTTGTTTCCGATAAAGACTTATTTACAAAAATAGGTGGGCCGTAGTTCTAAGATGATGCCTTTCAGAAGGCTGGATCCTTAAGGGGGGGAAAAAGGGGCCCAGTGGCCAGGCCGGCCTCTGGCATACAGAGATGCCCTTGCAGTGAGGGGGTTAGGGCACGTTCCCCTACCGGGAAGGGCTACAACAAACCAAGGATTCTTAAGCCAGACCCATCCACCACCTGGGGATCTATCCAGGGGCTTTGGTGGGGGGAAGGGGGTGTCCAGGAATCCCTGAATTCCTATATAAATTTGTGTATATGCTTATGGGCATTTTTCTGGGAAAAGGGTTCATCGCTTCCTTTAAATTATCAAAGGCATCTGTGATCCCCAAAAGGTGAGAAACCACCGTGTTGAGCCAAGCAACTCCCCAGACTTCAGTGAAGATGCTCAGTGACCTTGGGGCCCTAGCCGATGTGGGAAGAAGAGGCACCAGGGCTCGCCAGGCCCGCCACTGCTCAGAGGCAGGCTTGGGTCTCCTGGTCCCTCCCCACCCCCCAAGCAGGCTTCCTACTAACTGCAGGTTCTCAAGCTCGTTCTGGGAGGCTTTCCTACGGCCCCCTGGTCTGAAGACAGCCCGAGCACTCCCCAGCTAACCCTCTGCAGACCCGCAGGGAGCTTCCTTGTTTCCAGTTTCTCTCTCCTCCCCAGACTTGGTAGGTTGATGGGACCCCAACATCCTGCTCAATAGGGTAAGGGGAGGGGAGACCCTCAGAGAAATGCAAGGCACAGAATGGAGGACTGGCTGGTGGGTGGGGGCAGGATGGGCACTGCCCTCTGGTGTTTACTGGGAAAGTCTGGTCAACCTTGGTTCCCAGAGCACCGCAGACCAGAGCAGCCCAGCAATGGCCCAGGCTGCTGCTGACCCACACAGGCGCCCAAGGAGGCTGACAGTGCTGCCCGCCCAAGTCGATGCCCTGAGGACAGCGCGGCCAGTGGGAGGCAGAGCTGGGGGTACTGGTACTTGCACTCCTAGCCCTGCTCCCCAGGACTGACCCCAGACTGGCTCCTGGGCCTCTCCGAGGATGTCCCATGAGACGGGAGAGCAGCTCACACTTGCTGACCCTGCCCCTCACCTTGTCCCAGCCTTGCTCCACATGCCCCCTAATGCCAGGCCCCCCGGGATCGCTCTCCCCGAAAAAGGCCAGCTTTTACCTGGTTTCTAGGGAACCCAGGCCAAGCCGGGTGGTGCCAGAAGTGACCTGGAAAAGCAGTAGGGTGACTGACCACCCGAGATGCCACCTCGGCCCTCTGCTGACGGAGTCCAGGAAGTAAGAGTTTTGGCCCAAGGCCCCAGTGGGCCCAACGGGGCCACAGAGCTGCCTGTGGTTGGTGCCCTGGTTCCCAGGAGCAGCACTGGGATGTGTTTACCTGCACCTGACAGGGTGCTCACCTTCTATCCTCACCCGAGGAGCAGAGACTCATACTTTCCAGAGATCTCCAGCCGGGCCCGGCCTGGTGAGAACCGCCACCACAGAGGGAGAGGAGCCCCTGCCCACCTCGCTGGAGTGCGTCTCCCCACCCACCCCCGCCCCGACCGGGGCTGTGGCGGGACCGTAGACAACGGACCCGGAGCTCTCTCTGGTTCGAATGCTGATTCCGTCTTCAGGGCAGGGCCAACGGGCAGCCCTGGCTGTGGGAGTTTGTCCGAAGCAGGCAGAAAAACCCAAGACTCCGTTAAGTGAGCCAGAGGACAACTCTTCCCCCCCCCCCGCAGGGGATGCCCACGTGCCCTGGTGGTGCCCGGGCTCCCCTAAGCCCCTCCGCCACAACCTGGGGTCTTTTCTCCAGGGCTGTACCTCTGTGGGAGGTGTGGGGTCCTCTCCAGGTTGGCAGGAGGAGGGGTGCAGAAACTGAAGAGGTCCAGATGCTCCCAGTCCCACTGACGACCACGCCGGAGAAACCCCTGGCCGCAAAGTCCTCGCTTGGGAGGAGCCATGGGCCTGGGACACAGGTTGGGGGCTGTCTCATGGGTAGGGGTGGGAAGCGATCACCAAGCCCTGGGGGGGCCACAGAGGAGAGAGTTGTGAGTAGAAGGGGGACTGGCTCTCAGGTTTTCCAGCAACTGTTTGCTGGGTGCTCTGCTGGCCAGTCACGGGCAATGAGAAGGTCTGGTAAGACCCGGAGGAGGGACGGCCACAGGGGGCGCAGGACCCAGGAGCCAGGGAGCCCACGCCAACTGTGAGTCATTCTTCTGCCGAAGAAAGGGCATCCATGCACCCAACTGCCATCATCACTGACGGTGCTTGGTGGGGCCCGGTCAGCAGACACTGGCTTAGCACCTGTCCTGGCCCTGGCCCTGCGAGATGCTGAAGAAAAACACCAGTTCACAGGGGCAAGCCCCCACCTTCGGGGTGACATCCCACTGGCGTGGACAGAGTCTAAATCCCATGGGTGGCTGCTAACACCGAGAAGGTGTGGGTGGGACCATCACTGTGGGAGATGGTGTCTGGGGCGTCTCGCTTTTGCCCGGGGTCCTCACTCCACTCCAAGGGGCCAGCAGTGGAGCCAGGACTGTACTTCTGTTCAGGTTCTCCAGGAAGCTACCTGGAGGGGAGGCTTATTTCCTACTGCTTCATGAGAGTGTGTGGCCCCCTCGATCAGAAACGATGGACAAGGCCAGGGAGCGCCAAGCCCCGTGCAGAGAGCCTGGGACCCAGGGTCAAGACAGGACAGGCTCTCTGTCCGCAGACGTTCCCGGGAGAGGAGGAAGACAGAATCGGGTCTGCAACCAGGCAGTCTGGATCCGAATCTCTGCTCCCCATTTATTGCCCAGGTCCTGTTGTTTGGCCTCAGTTTCCACTTCTGTAAAACGCAGACTTCAGAGCCCTGTTCGTGGAGGTGATTGGGAATAAAAGGGGCCACAGGGGCAAGCAGCCAGCCCCTCACCTTGCACAGAACTAAGCTCCACATGCATTGGCCTCCCGATGCCCCTCCCCCCCAGCCCGCAGTATGGGGGACAAGCACTTCTTTGTGGCCATTCTGCACCCTTGAACGACTATGTAAAGGTTTTGTGGACAAGGCTGAAAAGACTGGATTTGAAGACTGTTTTAAATCCTTTGCAGATCGAAATGTTACCCAGTCTGAACCTCCATTCCTGGGCGTCCCTGGAGCCCCAGCACGATCCTCCAGTTTCCAAAGAATGCCACCACCACCCACCCACCCACCCACCCCGAGGTGCTTCTCCAGGGCTTGGGGTGGCAAGGACCGCACTGCAGCCGGCACTGTGGTCTTTCGGGCCTTTATTCAGAAGGTACAGAGCGGCGCGGTCTGTTTGACAGGCATTGTGCAGGGGGTGGGGGTGGTTTGTAACAGTTGTTTACTACAAGGTGTCGCAGAGAAAGGGGTGAAGAACGAAAGAGAACCCTTTGGAGAGGAAGAAAGGCACTGACTGGGGGGGGTGTGAACCCCCCGCCTCTTCCCAGGCTGGTGGCCTGGGTTATATACACACAGGGGCGGGGTGTGGGCTGGATGCAGGCAAACTCAAAGCTAGATACAGCGAACAGGGGAAAGAGTCCATCTGGGGGGGGGGCAGTGCTGTGTCCGGGCTCTTTCCCCCAAGGGGGAAAAGTTCAGAAAGAAGGCACAGCTTTAAAGGACAAACAGAATCCAGCCTCCCAGTCTTAGTGTTTTGTGCAATTAAAAAACCGGAAAAAATAAATATAACTTAAAAACTTCTCACACGACACTAAAGGCAAGAGAAACCCTCGAATACGTGAAGCATGCTGCTCACCGAGAACCCCCCGGGGGCCCGGCAAGGACCAGGCAGGAAGACTGTCCGTGCACCTGTGCACACGCGGCTTGGCTCACCGTCCCCGGCTCCTGCACGGCCAGGACCCAAGGCATCCCTGTGGGGACTGGGGCTGGGCGGGGAAGGGTTCTGAGAAATTCCACTTGGGATCCATCTACCCCTCTGGGACAGGGAGGCGGCAGGGAATGGGGGAGAACAGTTAGCGAGTAAATACAGAACCCCAACCCCTAAGGAAGAGAATAACCCTACGAAGATGCCGCTTCATACCACTTTCACGGATAGAACGAGACCCAAAGCAACCTATTGGCAATGAGAGGCAGCACGGACCTCCTCTGATAAACACATCACTTGCACTTCAGCCCGTTTGCGAACAATCGGTGCCTGTTTAAAGTGCTTGAAAATTTTGTTCTCTTAAGTAGATCAAGCTGGTCACCTGCACTTTTTGTCTGGAGCAATCATTTGCTTTAGCAAACTTTCTTGGTAGAGGGAGGGCCCACAGTGCTGGAATCTCGAATCCCAATGTCAGAATTTAAGTCCCTCCCTCAGGCCTCTTCTGAGCCACAAGTCACTCCAGCTCCGGAAGGAGACCCAGAGCTGGCTTTGGTGCTCCTGCCTTCAGAGGTCACATGCTGTCACGAGGCCTCTTGCTCAGCCGGGCGGGGGCGTGACCTTTAGCAAACCCCCCCTGGGAGTTCACCACTGTTTTGAACAAGAGCCAGGAAGTTTAAAAGTGATTTCCTTTTTAAAAAAATCTGTACTTAAACATCCTCGTGTGTCCCACCCTCCACCCCCACCAACTGTCACTCACCCAGCCCGAAAGGGGAAACGCTGGTGTCGCGTGGGGAGGTCAGAGGTCCCCCAGAGGCCCTGGGGCGGCAAGGGGGGGCAGCCCAAGAAACCTTTGGACTGATCCCTCCAGGCGCACAACCCTGGGTGCACACATCTCCACCGTATCCCTGAAACAGCTCCCAGCACCTGCTGCCTGGCCAGAGCTCAATTCTGGCCCCCCCTGCCCCGTACCTGCACGGGCAAAGGAGGGCACCTGGGGGACACAGCTTCACATGGCCAGAGAGCTGAGCGCTTTGTTCTTAAAAGTCTGGCCAATTTTACGTTGTTCTCCATAACAGAGACGTAATTTGCTTGAAAATGAAAACACGGCTTAATGGCTTCCCCAGCTGTCTTCAGGCAACCTGGAGACTCCAGGGAGAGATGCCTGGGGCACCCCCTCCCCGTCCCTGGCACCCACCACCTATCCTGGGAGCTGCCCACACCACATTTGGGAAATGTGGGTCTAAACCCTTCAGGCACTAAGAATTGCTTTAGGGGGGAGACGAAGCCAGTAAGCCAGAAACCCGCTTCTTCCCTGCCCAGCGCTGCCCTGAAGCCCGCCCCAAACCTTCTGGGGACCTGACTTCATGACAGAAGCCCAGGGAGGTGGGGGTGGTGGGGGGGTGAGGGGACATATGGGATCGGTGCTCTGTAGGTTCGGCCTTCTTTCTCCAGGGCTGGCTGTGCCCGGCCCGCCCCACCCGGTGCCCCCCGACCTCAGCAGTGCAAGGCGGGGGGCTGGAGGCACAAATGGCTCCGGGGGGTTGGAGGGACATCCCTGAAAGCTCAGGTGTGCAGTGTCTTCTGAATTCAGAGGGGGAGCATCAGAAGGAAGAGCCCAACTCCTGGCTGCCCCCTCCCGCGAAGGCCTAGGTCCGAGAGCACAGCCAGCATCTCCGAACTCCCAGGTCGGGCCCAAAGCTGGAGGTTTTCAATACCAGATGGGTGGGAGCCCTGCGTTAGCAAGCCACCACCGTCTGGGGGCGCCCCTGGGCTGCTAAAGGCCGACATGCAGTTCCCAGTGGCTTGGTACCCCAACTACCACAAGCCTGCAGCCAGGCACTTGCTGAAGCCCGGGTTCTTACAGCGCCCCTCACCGTGGCCCCCCAGCCTGTGTGCTGAGCTGGGCAGCGGCACTGACCGCACTGGCCACCAGGGGGCAGCAGGCCCCCACAGGAAGTCCGAGTGGAGGCTGGGGCTGGGTTAGGGACCCACCCCGCAGCCACCTGAGCCTGCTTCCAGACCCAAACCCAACGGAGCTGCCCTATAGGCCGCTGAGGCCGGGTCTGGGCATTCCTCTTCTGCTCGGAGATCCTACGCGTAGACAGAAGTGGAGACCCCAGCTTCAAGCCCTTCATGAGGAAAAAGTCACCAGAAAATTTCCCCTCTGCTCTTGGAAATCTCCATCTTGTCTCTACAAAGTGTCTTGTAGTGCAGTTCAGGAGGGTCAGTTCTGGGGCTTGCACCCCTGCAGACGTGAAGGGAAAGGGAAGGAGGAGAAAGGAAGCAGAGGGGGAGGAAGGGAGGGTGTGGCGAGGCGGGCGCAGGGGGGCCTCAGGCGAGCGGGGCGCCCTGGCACATTTCTGTCAGGATGTCGATGAGGTTGTTCAGGCCCGAGAGGTAGCCGTCCTCCCGGTTCCCCTCCTGCCAAGGCACGTTGTGCTGCAGGGTCTGGCCCTCGGGCAGGGGCGTGGTTTTTCCGAAGTCGATCATCCACACCTTGGCCTGCTCCTTCTGGTCATGGATGAAGAGGAGCGAGCTGCCAATGACCTGGGGGGAGAGGGGGGTGAGTGGGGGACTGGGGAAGGCAGCGCCGGAGCCCCCACAGCCCGCCCCACCGCAGCCGGAGTCTACCCAGGGCAGGCCCGCCTGGTGGGGGCGGTGGGGTGCGAGGCCCAGAGCTCGAAGCTCCATCCTGTATGGCAAAGCCCACCCAGGGTGGCTGAGCAGGGGGCAGAGGATGCCGGCCACCAGGACAGCCACCACCTTCCGTGTGGGCAGCGGCACGGAGGTCTAGGATGGCAGACCCGCACCCCCCAGCTCTGGCCTGCACACTTTCCACTATTTCAGACCATGGCTAAACCCCGGGCCTCACCGTGCCCCTCCTTCACCCTGATGGACCTGCCCAAATACACACACAGCCCCCCACCCAAGAGGGTGGCAGAGAGGCCCAGACCACCCCCATTCCAGCAGCACTACCCAGGCAAAGCCTGCGCAGACAGGCCCAGGAGGGGCCTGCCAAATATGAACACATCCCCCAAACCCTCCCCCCAGGTCACTGTGTGGGACTAGAGAAAATAAGGGGGTGCGGGGAGAGGGTGTGGGGTCCTTATAGCTCCCCAGGGCCCCAGGCAGGACAGGGAATAGCTCCTGGAAATGCTGAACCCAGAGAGGAGCTTCCTCTTCCCAGAAGGAAAATGGCAGAAGCCCCAGCTCTTTCTAGACCTGAAGCTTTCTAATGAGACTCCAGAAGGAGTAAAGCAAAAACAATCTTCCAGAAATAACAGCAAAGGTGCAGAAGAAGAAAGGGCAGATGTTCGAGACAAAACCTGGGCTGCCGACCGGGAGCGGTGCGGTCCGTGGGGCAGGTCCTGGGGCTCTGAGGCCCACGGACAGCCTGTGCCCTCTGGAGCATGCAGGCAGGCTGGGGGGGGGGGGAAGGGAGGCTCCAGCAGGCTGCACAAAGACCTTTTATCGAGCTGGGAATCCGGAGGCCCTGGGTGGGGCCGAGGGCTTGCACGCCCTGGGCCTCAGTGTGGAGGAGCAGAGGAAAGGGCATCCTGGGAATGGCTAGGCCAGGGGCAGCTGCTCAGGGCAGAGCCCGCCCCGTCTGCCCTCTGGGCACCACAGTCCCCCCTCACGGGCAGTCCTATCCAGGCACCTGTCAGAGCCACCCCGTGGGACAGGTGCATCCTGACCAAGGGACCAGTTAGGAATAAAATTCCAGGGCAAGCCAGGCTGTATGCCCGGAGGCAGGGCCAGCCGTGTCACCTGCTCAAAGATGCCAAGAGACCTAGCAGGGCCTGCCCCACCCCACTCTGGGGAAGCTCCCTCTGCCTGGGGTCCTGTGACCACCCGTTTCTTATTCCTCCTGCTGCCCCCACTGCCCCCTCTGTGGGCCGGGCTCAGGCTGAGGCTCCCTCCGTACAAGACCCCGAGAGAGGCTGCTTTCTGGAAGGAGACGCAAGCCTGCAGGGAGCATGGGATCCCTGCTTCACATGCACCTGGCCACAGCAGTACCGTTTCTGGGGAGGGGCATGCACGGGTGTGTGCACGCACACTCCAGGGGCTGGGGGCCCTGGACTCTCTGACATCAGGATCCTACAGACACCCCAGGGAACCTGCTGACAATTCCCAACCCTCTCTCGGGTGTCTGGGTTGCCTGCCTGCTGCCCCTGCAAACAGGTGCAAAAGCAGGAACAGGTGGAACGTTCCAGCCCTGCTCCAAGAATGGTGCCTAAGACGGGCCAGCCCGTTCAGAAGGTCTTGGGTGGTGATGGGTGGCTCTGCCCTAAGCCCCGGGAGCGTGTGGGACAGAAGCTTCAGGAGCTGGGATGGGGAGGGAACAGTGGGAGGAGATGACCACAGCCTTCAGGCAGGACAGCCTGCGTGGTCATTCCAGGGAGCCTGGTGCAGACGCGTGCCGACGAGGCTCCTGCCGGCAGCGAGGGACCTGATCCCAGGCGGCCTGCCTCTGGCTGCATGGTCTGAAAAGTGCCCCTTGGGCTTCCAGAACAAGCAGGGCTGGAATTGTGGGAGGTGCGCTCACCACTCAGGCGGGCAGGCCCGAAGATCATGGCTGACCCCACAGAGCAAGGCTCTCTGCCCCAGAGAAAGAAAGCGCGGTATCTACCTCATGACATTTGAAGAAGGGAGAAACTTCTAGGGTGGCACGAATGTCCTTCAGTCGGTCCCGGTAGGCGATCTGGGAACAGACAATGGCCAGAGTTTTGAACACTTGGGGGTGGGGTGGCTTTTAAGCCCCGTGTGGCCTACTAGCATCGCTGGGTGTCAGACTGCAAGAGACCTTACACCCTGAGCTTTTATTCCAACCTCCAGGCCCAGGCGAGGCGGGCAGCTGGGCTCCTGGGGCCACGCTTCGTCCACCCCCCCCACCCCTGCACAGCCATGCAGCCCCTCCGAGCTCTCACATGAGGGTCAAGTTTATTCTGGAACACCAGCAGTGTACCTCCGAACTGCCTGGTTGCCATGGTGCCTTCCAGAATACAAACCTCCATGCCCCTGACCTTCCAAAGGACAGAGGAAGTGGGGAAGCCACAAATATCTCGGCCAGTGGCCTCTCCACAGAGCCCTCAGATGGGGATGGAGCTGCGCGGGCTCCCGGGGTGCCTGCTGTCCCCAGGGACCATGGGGAAGCCCGGTGCATGCAGGCTCCCACGGTCCCTCAATGCCTTTCTGCAGAACGTCGTGGCCCGGGGCTTGGCACCATGTGCTCTGGGGCGGGCACCGCGAAGGAGCGGGTGACCCGGAAAACAGAGGGCTCGGGCCGTGGAAGAGCTCGGGGCTGCACCCCATGCCCGAAGCCTCCTTGCCAGGGGCTCAGGGAAGCCTACCCAGCCTGCAAAGGAGGGAGGGAGACCCAGCCAGCGAGGAGTCTTCTCGGAGAAAAGGCTGTCCGGGTCCACCCCTGCTCAGAAGGAGCCTGTCCCCGGGGACTCCAGGGCCCATGTCCCCAGTGTATCCGGGTCTGTCCCAGGGTGCCTTTCCCTAGGGGTACGGATACTCAGCACACCCTACCTCCGCCTGGAGGATCGAGGTCCCGACCCCAGAGGTCAGAGCCATCTGTCCAGCCTGTCCACTAGTGCAGGGGCCTGCGCATGAGATCCAGCTTGTGCTTTCCTAGCTGCGTCCTGGACCTCAGTTCCTCACCTGTCAAGTGCGGACAAGAAGGTCTCCCCGCCCCAGAGGGCTCCCTGCGGATTTGCAGCGAGGCTATAGTGACAGCAATCCTCTCATGGGAGGGAACCGTCTCGGCACCGTGAGGGGACGGCAAGGCAGAGAGTGAGCCCATCGAGTGCCCCCATCCACTCTCGGATGGGGCTGGCGACCAAGTCACCCTCCTCTGCACCTGCCCAGCGGAAGTTTGGGGCCGGCGTGTGGGCACCGCGGCCCAGCTCAGTCTAGGGCTGGGCAAGCCTGGGGGGGCACCAGTGGTCCCTGTGCAGCTGGCCCCTTCTGGCGGGGGTTGGGGGGTGACTCACCAGGATGTTGCGGTTCCCCTTAGTGAACTCTCTGAAGGCCTCGGTGACCTGCTCCCTCGTTTTGGTCTTCTTGAAGTCCCGGTTCACGGAGCCGTCTTCTTTCTGAGAAGGAGAAGGACACCCGCCCAGGAGGGGTCAGCAGAGGGCCCGGGGACCGGCAGGGCGCTCACTCACCTGGCAGCCCAAGGAAGCCAGGCAGCTCGGGGGCGACTGCGGAGGCGTCATGGTCCCTACGTGCAGGACAAGGAGGCAGGTGCGTGCACCATCCCAGGGAGGCTAGTTAGGTGGCAGCGCAGAAGGTCAGGGGAGGCCTGGAGGTGTGGAGCCCAGGGATGGAAAAGCAGGGCCATGGGCAGCAGGGGCCGAAGGCTTCCCCCGGGGCCTGGCCCTTGGAACCCGAGTGCCCAGGGGACACTGCTGCTGTCCAGACAGAAGAGAGGGGCCCCCTACGCCAAGGTCAGCTAGGTTTCCTTTGTAAAGTAAGATCTTTTATCACAGCTTCTCTGGAGACCAAGATATACTATGGCCTGCCTGTCTCTTCCCTGGCCCACCCGGTGCAAGAGATTGCTCCAGCTTCTCAGCCTGGCACTATGTCTGTTCCAGGCTGTTCCAGGGAAGCGCATGGAGCTTAGCTCCCCCAGGAAGAGCTCTGTTTTTGGGGACAAAGGGTGAGTGCAGATGGCTCCATTAGGAGCCACCAAACTTGGGTCTGTGCACCATCAGGCCGAAGGCTAGTTAATGCAATGTGCTTGCCTCTGAAAGGTTAAGCAGGACTCTGGGGTGGAGGGACAGCCAGGTGGACGGCCCATCTCGGGGGGGTGGGACCCTTTTCTGGAGCAGGGGAGGGGAGAGGCAGGTGAAGTGTTGGTGGGGACACTGGCCCGACAGTGAACAGAGGCCAGAACATCCAGCTGGAGAGGGAGGGGTTAGGGAACGGGGAATCGTTTCAAAGGGGTAAGGGGAGGAGAAGGAGCATTACAGGGAGGGGGACGGGCATGAAATTTGCAGCCAGTCTGAGGGCTGGATACAGAAAAAGAAAGAAAATGCTGGTTTCAGAGGACAGGGGAAGGACAAATGGCGTTCTCAGCCCAGAGCTCAAAAAGCAGCGGCCCCCAGTGGACCCTCTGCAGAGGTGCCCTGCCTTCAGCCCGCTGGCAAGCTGGGGGCTCCCAGCCGTCCGACCCCGATGCAAGGGCTGGGCGGTGGGGCCCAGAGTGGGTCGAGGATAGAAACCCAACAAGGCTGCAAGGACCAGGGTCTGCGCATCCATGACCCCCGTGTGTGGATGTCAGAGTCTCCATCCCTTCCTCAGCTGGGAGCCGGTGGCCTGTGCACCTGGCGGGCCTCACCTTGATGCCCTCGATCCTGAACCCAAGGGTGGCGGTGGAGCTGATGGTCTCCCTCCACTGCATGTACCGAGGCTTGGTCACAGCCCGCTGGGCCTTCTCCTCCTCGGTCGGGGCGTCAGGGTCCACCTCGATCATCTTCTGGTACATGTCCTTGCGGAGGCTGGGTTTCTTCCGGGCCTTGGTGAGCTCCTCCTCCAGGTAGGTCCTGTGTGGGGACGGGCGTGATGAGGACCACTGGCTGCACCGCAGCTCCAGCCTTGCCCGAGGGCTGCACTCAGCTTAGCCAAAGGCATGCTCACCCGGGATGGGCACACACTCAGCTCAGGCTGGGGAGAAGAGGGCCACTTTGGGTGGGGTACACCACGCCAGCATCACCAAGGAGGCTTGGCAGAGCCCAGGGGTCTCCCTTCCAGGAAGAGGCTCTCTCAAGAGGGAACATCTTGAGTACAAAGGCCAGGACCAGAAAGTGGTCTCTGAAGAGGCCACGGTGGGGGAGGGGGAAGCCCATGACCGGGAGAGGGAGCCTGGGTGCCCCAAGGCCACTGTTGTATTGCCCACAGGCCGGTTCAGCCTGCCTTGCCCAGCCCGTGCCTCCTCACAGCGGAGCCTCCAGCCTGAAGGGCCTGAGAAAGCGTAGCCAACGCTTGCTCACTGCCCTGCCCTCCACACAAGCCGGCTGGGCCTGCTGGCTGACCTGGCAGGGGTCCCCCGGAAACTGGTGGGGTAACGGGAGCAGGGGCGGACAGGCCAAGTCCCTTACCCCATCGCCCGACCGAGGTGGGGAACCCACCCCTGCTGCACACACAGGCGAACGCAAACGCCCCCCTGCTCCCCAGTCAAACCCCCGATCCCCTGCCCCTGGCTCCATGGCTGCCTGTGAGACTTCCTGAAACAGAAATCACAGCGCTAAGCTGCAGCGGAGGGAAGTTCTCGGCGGAGGCCCCTCGTGGGTGGGGGCTGCCCACACGGTGGGCGGCTGTGACAGCGGCCCACCGCCCCCTCCCCGGCCGTCCCGGGGCCTCGCTGGCCACTGCCCATCAGACCGGCTCCAAGCTGCTGTGCTGGGACCCAGAACTGACTGCATGTCACCTCTTGAACTCTTCCAAGCACAAGTTTTCAGAAACCATTGCATCAAACGCAAGAAAACGCCAAATCCTTGGGTGTGAACACGGGCCTGGTCATTCAGAGCCTTCCGTTGTACTCGTGTGCACCCCCCCCTGCACGCGCACCCCCCGCACGCACACCCCCCCCCCCCCCTGGGCCTGCAGAGCCCAGTCGGCGATGGGGGAGGGGCGGTGATGCGTGGAGGCGCGTCCGGCCGGCCTGTGCGTGAATTCTGTGTGGCAGGGGCGGGCTGGCCATCCCCAGTGCTCCGGAGTGCGCTGTGGGGGCCTGCGGGGTGGGTGGGTGGCTCGACCTGCGCAAAGAGCTTTTACTAGCTCCTTAAACAGGAAGCGGGCCTCAGCTTCCAGTCCCTTCTGACCGGGGCTTTCTCCAAAGCTGGCCCGTGGTCCCTCCGGGGGGAGTAGCCCACCCTCTGGCAGAGGAAACGGTCAGCAGCCGGACAGTGGGGCCCGAGCTCCCCGACGCCGACCCTGGAGGAAGGCGACACCTCCAAGGACCACAGGGTCACATCTAAGAAAACTCCCCAGGGACACGTGAGCCTGTGTCCGAGCAGCACCCCGGTCCCACGAGGCCCCTGGCTTAGGACACTACCGGTGCCCGTGCCCCCCGGGGCCGACGCTGGATTTGCTGATCAGCCTGCCCTCTTCTTCCCCGCGACAAGTCTCCACCCCTCATGCCGTGGTCTCAGGCCTCCCCCTTCTGGCAAGCACAGGCCACACTCCAGGCGTGGCCACCGACTGCTGGTCTTAGGGGAGGTTGTGAGGTCAAGCATTCTGGATGGACAGAACTGGGGAGGCAGTGCAGTCCCCGCTGGGGCACAGGGCCCCAAGGAGCACCCTTTGGGCCTGGTCTGGACAAGGCTGGCTGGCCTGTCGGCCCAGCACGGCCCTGCTGGGTCCCATCTGTGACCCCTACTCGGACTGGGCTGTGACCTCTGCCTTGGGGTGGCAGGAACGCAGGGGGGCCCATCCCTGGCATGGTGCAGCAGGGAGAAGCTGGGGCGTGACCCCTTCTGGGGAGACCCACCCCTCCCCTCCACACGGACTCCTCTGTCACCCCAAGGCCTCCGCCTCCGGGCCCGGCCCACAACTGCGCTAAAGCTGTTCTAGCCTCGCAGGTCACTCTGGGTCTCTCCCGAGAGCACCAGGCCGACAGAGCTGCAGGACCCAGCCTAAGGTGGAGGGGGCGCCTGCCCCCAGCAGCTTCCTGGGGAACAGACAGGCACACGGGGCAGCCTTTCGGGACCCACTAGCCACACGTTCTTCCCTCAGGCTGTACTTTTTTTGGCCACGGTCGGAGTGAACACTCATCAGAATATTGGTGTGTCTTCCCTTGAGAGGGTCCATCCCAGTATACCCTGGGAGGGCCTTCCGGGGACAGAAATAAGACTCTGGGGAAGAGCAGTGGCAAAGTGGTGGCTGGAAGGACATTCTGTTTCCTCTCCGTGGGCTGGAGTGGTGAGGGCTTTGGACAGAGGGAGGAAGCAGGTCAGGGACACCCAACAGCCCAGTGGGACCTGTACCTCCCCATCCCTTGGTCCCTTCCTGGGGACAACACAGAGGGGATGCAGCCTGCGGGGCCTGACTTAATGACAGTCCCAGGAGGGGTGAGGGAAGGGAAAGGGGCCTTCTCCCCCAGCCTCCATCTCTGTCACACACACACAGACACACTCTTCTTTCTCATACTCCTCTCTTAAGAAAGAAATCTGCTTACACCACCCAAAGCAAACACAGGCCCCAGCTCGGAGCTGCTTCCCAGGGCCCGGTCTCCCCGGCGAGCCGCGGGTCAGACGGAGGAGCCCGGCGCCTGTCTGTCCGGGCTGGGCCCCTGCAGCCAGCGGCTCCCCGAGGTGAGCGTGGCTCCCAGACACCACGTGGCCACAGCCCTGCCCCCGCAGGAGAGAAGGAGCTGCTCAGGGACCCCTGGGACGGAATGGTCCAGGTTTGAGAGGGATGAGAACTCCACGCGGCCAAGACAGGGCCCAGGGTGGTGCAGGCAGCAGGGTTTCGGCTCCTCTCAGCCCGGCGCACCACCCTGTCTCCTGGCCGCTCTTCCTTCTCCCTCCCTCCCCAGCCCTCTCCTGGCTTATCTCCCTGGGCAGATGCCAGGGCTTGGACCCGATTCCACGCACAGGCTCACGCAGCCCCTTGCGGCCTCTATGCCTTACTCGGGGCCCCGGAGCACCCCACGTCCGCCAAGGAAGCAGGTCCTGGGCTCTCCCTCCCCTCAAAGGGCAGGCGCAAGTCTCTTGGCAAACCAGCACGTTCCACTAATGGGCTCTCCCTTCCCTTGGGTGGGGGCACAGGTGGCACTGAGAAGGGCCCCTACCCCTGCCTCCCTGTGCGGCCACCCCCTTGCTACCCCAAGCAATCCCCCCTGCCCAGAAAAGCAGTTCTCTGTGCCCTCCCCAGGGAAGCTCAGCACGGACCCAGGCCCTGTTTCCGGCCCCACAGCTACTGGCTCCAGAGAGGGGAGGAGGCTGTCAGGGGCAAAGCAGGGTCCCGTCCCCTCTGCACGACATGCGATAGGACCGGGGTAGGAGGGGGTCCCAGTGGTCCCCCCAGGCCCCCAAGCCTGCCCCATACACACTGGACTTTGGGGTGGCCTCCGCGGGGCCCGGCTCACCTGACGCCCATCTTGCAGTCCATCACACAGGGAGAGTCAAAGGCGGCCAGCAGGTCGTCCATCTGGTTGTAGCGCTCCCCGTCCTTGACCACGTCCCCGTGGTAGGCGGGCACAAAGGGCTTCAGCACGTCGGCCATCAGCCGGTCCAGGCAGCGCTGCTCAGACTCACAGTGCTTCTTCAGGATCCTGCCGTTGGCCGCCGCCTTGAAGCTCCCTGCGGGGCAAGGTGGGAGGAGGCCTTGGTCTCTCTGCGGGGCCTGCCCTGCGCTGACCCCCCCCCCCCCCGCTCCCTCGGGAAGTCTCCCGGGGGGTGCCCCCCAGGTCCCCACTTGTGGACCAAGCACTTTAGGGGGAGTAGATGCAGGTCCCGGTGTCCAGCCACGCTCACAGGCCGGTTTTCCCCGGCTTCCCTGACCGCAGGCTCCTTATCTGAAGGGCGAAGGCCCCCAGCGCTCACTGCTGGAGGGCCTGTGCCGTCCTACTGGTATTACCGTGACCACCCCCAGCCCATCATCCGTCCTGCTTCTCCGGTGTTGAAGGCGCCTCCAGTCTCCGGATAGGAGTCCTGGTAGGGCCGGCTTCAGGGCCGGCTTCAGTTTCAGGACAGGGACACTGGCTGAGAAGCGGGGGTCCGAGGCACAGCCCACCCGAGCAGGGCTCCAGTCACACTACACACACACACACACACACACACACACACACACACTTTGTGTGTGTGAAATACACACACACACACACACACACACACACACACACTTTGTGTGTGTGAAATATCTATTTAGAAAGGTGTCCGTCCAAGCGCCTGGGGCTGGGCCCAGGTTTCGGAGATATAGAGGAAATGTCAGACCCCGTGCCGGTCTGCGGTCATGAAGGTCAAGTCTGGGGCAGCCACTGAAACCTCCGCAGAGGACAATGCTCACCAAAGGGCCCCCACATGTGGACTGGCCAGCTCTCGGGCTCTGGCGTGACACATCCCTCCACCCCTGTGGCTGGTGGGCGCCCTGGCCACCTGCACCTAGGACCTTCCTTGGCTTGTGGGGTGACCTGCCTGCCTCTTCCCACCCCCCCCACAGGCTCCTCTGGGACAGAGACCACGTTTCCAAGAATGTTGTGACCCCCAAGACCGTGGTGATGCAGGGATACAGCGGGCGCTCAAGGAAGCGCTGGGCGTGGCTTCTTTGTCCAAGCGGACCCATGGGGGGCGAGCTGCAGGACTGATAAGGGCACAGGCTTTATCGGGTTCAGGCAGAAGAGAGGCAGAGGGGGAGAGAAAGATCAAATGTGACAGAGACAGGGGTAGGGGGGCCGTGCGTGTGTTTGAGGAAGGGGTGGCACAGGCCCTGGAGGGGGCAGCTGTGCTCAGGGCAGCGCTGAGGCCACATAGGCATGTCTGGCTGAGACTGTAGACCACAGGGTCTCAGAGAAGCTGTTCCAGACGCTCCCATCCCCAGGAGCATCCAGGGCCAGGCCTGCCCTGCCCTCGTGCTGGGTGCCTCCCGAGGGAGCCGGTGGTCCGGCAGGAAGGTTCGTGGAGGGGGGGGGTTCAGTACCTGCATGTCCTGCCAGCTGGATCCAGGGATACTTCTTCTTGAAGGACATGACAAAGGGAGACCAGTGAACCATGTTTTTTATTTTCCTCCATGATTTGCTCTAGAAACAAGCAAACAAAAAACTCTCCATTAGAAAGAGAATGGGTACTTTCCCGTTAGGATAAATTCAAAGTAAGGTAACTCGGTGCCAGCGGCCCCAGGATGAGAAGCGCCACGCCCACGGGGCAGGGGCCCTTGGCGGCTCCGAGGTCCTCACCTCTGTCATCTACATGGCGGATGTACCGTCAGAGGGAGCTCGGCAAAGCTTGTTGCCGAGCAGAGCGCCCAGATGCAAGGGGACCTTCAGGGCGAGGGTGCGACAGGTGCAGCGTGGAAGCAGGAGGGCACGTGCCCCAGTCCAGCGCGGACCCCACCCCGTGCCACCGCCCCACCAGGGAATGACTAAACCCACCCTGCACCCCCGCTTCATGCCCCTCTGGGGCCTTAGTTTCCTCCTCTGCCCAGTGAGGGAGGGACAGCTGGTGCACCAGGTTCCTAGCACGGCGGGACACTCAAAGGGCTCCGGGAAATGACCCCAGCGTCCCAACAGCGCTGGCCCCTCAGAGGCAGATGAGAGGGGACCGGTGTCCCCTCACGCTGTACCCATGGGTGTGGTGGCAGAGGTACTTCTTGCCTGCAAGGAGCTTGGAGAGAGACTTTGTAGGGAGTTCCCAGGGAGAGCACCCTCCACCCCACAGCTGGGGTGCACACGGGGTGAGCGGGCCTGCAGTTCCCTCCTCTTCAACGTACTTGTCCTTCTTAGGGGGTTTCTCAAGTAAGACCTGTGAGTGCATGCACACGTGTGTGAGTGTGCATATGTGTCCACGTGTGTGCGTGTGTGCATGTGCGGGCACGCAGGAGGGGCTCCTTGCGCAGAAAGGAGAACTGACATTGACTTAGCACCTTACTTCGGCTCTGCAAGAAGCATGCAGGGCCGTCACTGTCCCGTCTGCGGGTAGAACCTGACCCTCAGAAGTCAGCGATGAATGAAGCCGGCACGCAAACCTCCATCCCACACGACTGCCTTACAAAAATCCTCTTCTCCCCCAGCAGTACACGTTTCTCCAGAAACACACATCCCCACGTTAACTTTAGGACAGAATCAGAGACGGAGCGGGGAAGACCACGTGCGCCCAACACAGGCGTCCCTGGATGGGGGTGGGAGCTCGCCCTGAGCAGCAAGCAGGTCCCTGGCCAGCAAAACCACAGCACGAACCCACGGGGCTCTGGGGCTCCGTGCTGGGGGAAGGAGAAGCTAGCAGCTCTGCGCAGGGGCAGGCGGCTAGGAGGAGGGGTCCCGCCTCCACTGGGGGGGGCCTGTAGACGCAGCAGCTCCTCGTTCCCTGCCCATGGCCGTGTTCCCCGAGGACAGAGGCCGCATCTTTGCAGAGGCTGCTGGCACCCAAGGTGGATTCAAGGTTAAATCAGTCGCCCCGGGTTTTCGTCCTCTTTGCTGAGACTCAGCTGCTTCTGTCATCAGGCTTTCAAGTGAAAATCTGTTTAAGGAGAGGAATTCCTCCCTACTGAACCTGGCAGTCTTTCTCGCCGTGCCAGAAACCCTCACCCCGCCACCAAGACCTAGTCTATTCTTATGCCAGGCCATGTGACAAAAGGGCCAGGCCTCTACTGGCAAGGTTGTTTTCCTAGATCGTTCTGACGGAGATCACCAAAGAAGGCTGAGGAAGGCCGAGGCGTGACTTATCTTGGCACCCAGAAGGCCGCACAAACAGCGCGGGGGGGTGGGGAGGGGCAACAGCCGAAAAACCTCATTACAGGAGAGGAGGCGGGCGGTGGTCTGATGGCCCCGCGGGGAAGACGTCAAGATCGGTGCAGAGGCAGACCGCACAGCCAGCCACCACCCATCACAGCTCACAGGGGATTGAGGGTGCGACAGGTGCAGCGTGGAAGCAGGAGGGCACGTGCCCCAGTCCAGCGCGGACCCCACCCTGTGCCACCGCCCCACCAGGGAGTGACTAAACCCACCCTGCACCCCCGCTTCATGCCCCTCTGGGGCCTCAGTTTCCTCCTCTGCCCAGTGAGGGAGGGACAGCTGGTCCACCAGGCTCTTGGAGAGTTGGACCCTCAGGGCCAGCGTCACCCGGCTGCACAATGTATCTGTAGATGCAGTGATGACACATGACCCAGGGAGGACAGGTCCTACGGCCAGGGAGGGGTGTGCCAAGATGGGTGTGTGCTGGGAAGGAAGGTCTTCGTGGAGGCTGTGCCGGACAGAGGCAGGGTGGCGACAAACCTGGGGGAGAAGACTGTCGCAGGCCCCTGGAACAGAGCCTCGGCCTGGGTCCTGGAACAGCTGGGTCCAGCAGGGGCTGAGGGTGAGCAGGTGAGGCCAGCTCTGGAGGCTGGGCTGGGAAGCTTGGAGCAGGGCAGCCTGACGGTGAGGTGAGGCGAGGCAGGTGGACCTGATTCCGTCCCCTCCTTGCTGACCGCCCTTGGATGAGCTCCTGACCTTCCTCGTGGCCCCCCTTACCTGTAAGATGGGACCAGCACATGGGTTCCCCTGATAGCAGGAGCGAAAGCCACTCCATGAGGATGGGGTACGTGTGGGAGAGTTGGAGCCGGAAAGGAGAGGGGTGCTCGGGGTGGGTCCTCGACAGTTCACGCTGAGCTTTTCTGCTCAGCTTCCCTTCCCAACATGAGGAAGCGTGCCTTTCACATGAAAAGGGCCAAGGCCACAAGAGTCCTCCCACAGCAAGGCTGCCCCGGGCAGTCGAGGACAGTGGAACATACTTGTCTGTGGGTTTGCATGCCCGGGGGCACCCAAGCGGTGCCGAATGTGGCCACCAACACTAACAGAAGAAAGCACGTCCAGATCATGGTCGGGCCCAGGAAAGGAGGGTACAGGGCCACTGCTCCCCAGCCCACAGCAGCAGAGGAGAGGCACGTGGGAGTGCGGGGGGGATGGCAGAGAATCAGCCCCCCCCACCCCGGGGAGGTTTCTTCAAGGCGGGTGCCCTGGGCAGTTAGGACGCAAGGCTGGCAGCTGCTCTGCTCAGGGGAAGCCTTCGGAGTGCTCCTTTAGCAGAAGAGTCCAGAGCCTTCGGCAGATGCACCGTGGCTGGCCACACAAACCCCAGCTATGTCCCATGTGGGGGCTGGGCCCTGCCACTTGCAGCTTAGCTACCAGATAACACCAGGCTCTGTACCAGTCAGATCTGACCTTGGCTGGACTGCTGCACTTGGGATATTGCTGGGAGCACTTCAAGGGAAAAGAAAGAACTTTGGAACGGCCTGCAAGCCAAGCAGGTGCGGAGCCACAGGGCAGGCTTTCACCTCCACTCTGGGAGAGCCTCCTGCAGCGAGGTTTTCCAGGTAACGGTGCAGGTTTACAGAGTGGGATGAGACCCCGCAACACAAATCCCTCGCTGACAACTCCCCGGGGAGTTACTCACGCTGCAGGGCACACTGCCTCCAACAGACGGGAGGGCCGACTGGGATCGCCTCGGAGTCTGGCCTTCGTCTTCCATAAAACAGACAAGAAGGATACAGCGGGGAGAGGGGACGAGAAGCAGGGACCCTAGAGCCGGGCTGGGGGGGGGGCGGAGCCAGCCCGCCCACACAGGACCAGCGACCTGACATACGGGATTCCTTGTCCAAAACTCCGTAAGACTGTCAACACGGGGATGGCAGAGGCCGAAGCAAGCGTGGGACCCCTGCGAGGGCGCTCTGTGGTAGCCCAGCACTCCCACCGGGGAAGCCGGCCGGGGAGCAAGAGCAGGCGACCTTCTGGGTCCCGACCTGCTCGCCCTCTGCCGATGACCACGGGCCGCTCTTCAGCACTGGGGGGGGGGCAGGGAGGGCTCCAGTGCGGGTGGCCTGAGACTCTCCTTGGGGGGCTCCCAGCAGCCCCCCCGGAAAGGCCCGGCAGGAGCGGTGAGGACAGTTACCCGTCAGCACTCCTCTCCTTGCACACACAGCATCGTGCCTGTTCTTTGGGTCTGGCCTTGCTCCGTCCCCCGTGGGGGCCTCCTTCTCGGGCACTGAGAGGGGAGTAGCCCCCACGGGGGTGTCTGAGCCCAGGTCTGAGCCCAGTGCCCAGCCTTCCCCACAGGAGTTGCCCAGGCCGGGGCCCTCTGGGGGCTGCCCCTCGTAGCCAACAAAACTGGGGTGGGGCGGGGAGAAAGGGGAGTGACGTTGGAGTGGCATCAGGCAGCTGCGCCCACCCCCACATGGAAGTATGAACAGCAGTTCACTGAACACGTACTCTCCCAGGCCGGTGAGATCCTGCAGGTGACCTGGGCCCCACACACCTCTCCCCACCCACCCTCAGATGCCTGCAAGGGTGTCTGGTCTCTGCTCTCAGGGATTCTTCCCAAGAATGGCTGCAGAGAACTCAGCTAACCCCACGAAGCTCGGAGCCCCCGTGCCCTGGAAGCCCTCCCTCTGGGTGTTTCCGGAGGGCCCTGGGCACGCCTGCACACCAGCTCTTATCTGGACGAGCGTGAGCCTCCTGAGAGCCAGGCCCCCAGCCCCACTGGGGGGGGGGGCCCTGAGAGGCCACCCTGGTCAGCCCGGCCTGCAGCTGAGCCAGGCCCCACACGGTTCAGAAGGAGGGAGACCAAATCCAACTGGATCTGCCCCTCGGGACGTGGTCAGAGCCCCCCGGGGCCAGGTGAGGTTTCCAGGCCGCGGCAGTTGAGCAGGCCTTTGAACCCGTGCCCGGTGCCCCCGTCAGTGTTCTCATCTGCACAGTGGGCTCGAGAACGTGACACGCGCCCTGCCCGCCCCACAGGGCTGTGGGGAGAACCGAGGAGATGAGAATCCAGATGGGCAGGTGCTCTGTTCGCTGTCACGGGACAGGAGAACCTCAGGTGTTCGTTTTGCTTTTACTTCTGTATATTTTTTTTTTTCTTTTGGTAATTGAAATAGTTTTCACCTCCAAGGCACAGCAGACAGGCAAGAATCCAGCTGGGCGCTTCCAGAGAGTCAAGTCATCACCAGGGAGCAAGAAGAGGAGTAACTGTAATTCACTGCTCGTGATGCTTCCCTTTGGGTGCTCCCGGCCGCTGGGAGCCCGCGGGGCAGCTCCAGAGGCCCCCACGCGCCGGGCCTCAGGGACAGCCAGAGCCAGCCAGGCCCAGGCGCTGACACCAGGTTCTGGGTCAGAAGATCGGTAAAGATGCCCAGAGGAGAAGAGTCTCCCAAATCACCCCAGTTCACATACGTGGAAGTCTGCCAGGCGCCCCCGAAGAGCAGCATTTGGGGGTAAAGAGTGAGATTGCTGAGCACATTTCATTTTGTAATAAAAGGCGGTTTTACAGACTTTTCTCAACCTTTTCCCACCCAACTGGTTCCCCCAATTTTCTGCTTTTTCCTCCAGCGCTTCCCCTTTATCGAAATAGTTTGACCAGTTGGCTGACTTTTCTTTTTAGATAATTATATAGTCTCCATTTGTTTTTTGTTTGAGTATAAGAGACGAGGAGAAATCTCTAAGACGTCCGAAAAGGGGAACCTCCTCAGGACACCCCGTTACTCTCCAAAACAACACTGCCGGGAGACCGGGCTTTGCGGCACACGTGCACGTGCAGGCGTGTTAAGTGAGTGGTCATAACCTAGCATGTGGGGGAAAGAGGCGGAGAAACTGCATGTTACACGGCAAAGGTAGTGCCAGGCCTATTACTAAGCTCTCAGGCCGTCCTCCCTCAGCACACTGACACAGCCCTGTCTGTTCTGCACATCAGGACACGTGTTCAGAGAAGTTAACTAACTTGCCCAAGGTCACACAGCTTCCTGGTTCCTGCCATTTAATTCTGAGGATTTTGTTCTGTTTCAGCCAACAGGCTAACCGGGCCCGGGTCCTCTCTGCCTGTTCTGGGGCTAACGGCTGCTCCCCTCCCCCAGTTAAAACATAGCCTCAGATGAACAGCAAGGGCTTTGTCCCAAGAGCGACCTCTCAGACGGGGGAGGCCTCCCGGAAGACCTGCTCTGCCTAGTTCCCAGCACCGCCTCCCTGACGCACACTTAGGGAAGGCACGCTTCACAAGTCCTGAGATGGGGGGCAAGACACCCCCTGCCCAGGGAAGGCCCACTCTGCCTCAGTGCCTTTGCTCTGCTCTTGCAAAAGTCTGAGTGAAAGTCACTGAGGTGTCCATGTTTGGAAGAAAGCTTTTTTCCCTTCCTTCTTCTTTGGGTCTCTCTGAAAAAGCAGTTAGGGTTTCCCGGGTGATCCTTGCCTCCTGCGCTGGGGCAAAACCTGCGCTTCTCCCAGGCCGGGGCCGGCCAACTTTGTTCATTGTATCCGACCTGGCCCAGCTTCCCGAGCTGGCAGCTGGGCACGCCCGGGCAGGTAGGCGCCCCTGGCTCGAGAGCTCCCTCCTGCAGCCCTGCTTAGAAACCTGGCGGGGGGGGGGGGCAAGCGAGACCTGCCCCTGCCTCAGCGCTGAGCTGTGTAGGGCACTTTGGGGGAGGGGGAGGGAAGAGGGCCTTTCAAAACCAAGACCCCAAGGATGGGAAAAATTAAGCCCAATGACTTGGCAGGGCAGGTGGCTCTGGCTAAAAATAAGAGTCTGGGCTTTAAGACCAACCGTCTTTCCCCTCTTTAACAAACAAGAAAATTCCCCCATAAACCAAACGCAAAAACACTTTTGCAAAAGACCCGAGGAATGTTCTTTCTTATTCCCGCCTCCTCACATGATGTTCCCCTGGCCCCGGGGGCGGGGGGGGGGGGCGGGCAGGTGGGTCAGGACACCTTTGGCGGAGGTTATGGCCGGGCACAGGTTTTCCACCTATCCTTCGGAGAAGCCACCAATGCAGGGTGGCGTGGCTGAAGTAACCCCCGGTCTGGATGGGCGGCTGGCCTGGGGCCGGAGAGCAAGGATGGGCAGCCCTCTCTTGCTCCCAAGGCCACCACCTCGGCCACTGCAGGCGTGAGAGGTGGGACCCAGCCCGGGGTTCTCGGGGTGAGGGCTGCCGAGCGCCAGCTCTGGGGTGAGGACCTGGTCAGGACCTACATCTCCTGCTTCACAGTGGGCGCTCCTGATGCAAGCTCAGCGCCGCAGACCCTGTGTGAGGGGGGCCACCCCGGCCAGCCAATGTCTTCCAGCACATTCTGGCCAAAGCCAGAACCCTGAAGGGCTGCTCGGCTCTGCTCCCCCCGTGAGCTGCCTCCTTCCCACAGCAATGAGAGGCTCACTTTCTAGACCCGGACTGGCACACCGGGGTCCTCAGTCAGAGAAGACTCCCCTTCGGCCAACATCCAGATCTCGGCTGGGGGGTTGCCCTGGCCGGGCTGGCGAGTGCCCCCTACCACCCCCAGGAGGGAGCTGCCCCCAGGGACGCAGGCCAGTCCCAGAGGACTTTCCGCCCCCACGCCCACACTCCGGCTCTCGGGGCCTCTCCCATCCTCGCCCATCTGGCAGCCGGCCCCCTCCTTGTCCCACACCTGCCCCATCCCAGGGCTCTGCTCACGCAGCTGCAGATGCTCTGCCCTCCGTCCTCCCCTCCGCTGGTCTGCGTCCTCCCCCCTATCCC